AGAAACATCTAAACGTGCCTTTGACTGTCATTGGCGTTATCCAACAGAAAAACTTAGCGCCTATCCTGTTCGCCCAAGTAAGCAAAACATAATATTGATATTAATTACTTCATATTAAGACTGATAAATTTTACATCGTATCATTTTTAACTGACTTATACGGATTCCCATTAAGTATGGGTTTTTGAATGGAGTGAATACTGTGGAAAGTCCTCAAGGTATTGGATCCTTGATGTTGTTTTTTAACCCCAAATGAAGATCAAGTGGAGAATTAGGAAGAAAGTCTTAGACTAAGTTATTCTTGACATGCGTTTAATTTGAAGAAACATTAGTTGAGAAAGAGAATTATCTTCAAGATAGAATAAGAAAAATGATAAACTGAAGGGAAACTATGAAATACTTCGAAGAATGTCCGTAGGTGAATCGCATGACCACCAACACATATGCTGAGTTTACACTGTGGTATATGGTTGAAGCACACAATATTTCTGTTGTTCGAAGCATTTTATGTCGCATTGGTGTAAAACAGAAAATGTAGTCGAAACGCTATTATTATATGCTCTTTTAATTGGAAATCCACACAGGTCCAGTAAAGAATTTTATGAACAATGCCATTCAACATCACAACCATCCCTATGTTTTAATTTAAGCATTTACTGTGCCTACAAGATAAAAAAAGGTGTTACTAAAAATGTACAAAATTTTCAATTAATAAAATTAAATTTATCATTGTTCCATAATAATAGTGCTCGTAGCTCCTTCTACACAGAAATGTTTGTGGGCGAGGGTTGTATCATAGGCCTAGTTGTGGTGTAGCAACGGTTGCAGTAAATTTAGGCCTAATTTTATTAGCCCTCAAGCTAAGATAGTATTACTATTTTTAGTGCATTCGTGCGCAGTTAACTTTATCGATGCTGGATAAATCGTAAGATTGACGAGTAATTTTTGTCGTTCGTTATCGTTAAGCCAAATGCCAGTTAAGACATATATAACTCCACCTCCACCTCCGGCAAATTCTAGACAGCCTGGAGTTACACGTTCATTACTTTATAACGGATCTAAATTCCAGGGCCATCAGAAGAGTAAAGGCAACTGTTACGACGTTGAAGTTATTTTGCAGGTTAGTGGTTTGCTGGTAGTTGTACGTAAGTTGTAAGTAACCTTAGTCCGGCTCCACAAGTCCAAGCAATGTGACGATAAAAACTAGTAAAACATTTAACACTAACAGTATTTATGAAAGAGGTATGGATGTTTCAGCTATGTTACTGTTACAAACACTAACATTTAGTAGTACTACTACTAGTAGTAGTAATGAAATTAATAGATACTAATAATATAACAATGACACCTACTGACCTAGTGCTTCCTAGTCCTACAAAATTCCAGTTACATCAGGCATATAGAAAGTGTGAAAGTGCCATAATTCATTGATAGGGTGACCAGATTTCCAAACTGAAAAACTGGGACAGACCAGCCCTTGCCCCTGACTTTAAAATGGTTATTACAAACTTGAAATAATTTAACTTTTATTTAATTATTTTGTGACAGTTACACATTCTCCAAGTGATATATGTCTACTACAATACTATTAGCTAAAAAAATCTGTGCAGATCTGGATTTCGTACCATGCACAGATGAAACTTTTGAGAGAGTTTGGCGGCAAAAAGTATGTGATACAATGAGCTAGTTAAGTAGGCTTATTAATATTATATTTGTGATTCTATGTGACTGACAGTTTGATGTCTTTATCATAAAACTGGGATGCTTCGTGCATCAGTGGCATTTACAGAGATACTGGTTTATCTGGATGTGATGACAAAAATGTAAAATTTTACTACAAACTAAAAGTCAATGAATAGGGTGACTAAATGTCTTGGTTTTTCCACGATAGTCAAATTTTTTTAATTTGGTAGTTTGTCCCATTGTTATGGGAAAAGTTGTCATAAATGTAAGTATAACAGATACGAGGATTTAATATTGCATTAATGAAAACGGCAGCTCTAACTTTGAATCTTGGCCAGTATAAAAAATAGTGTCTTTAGCAAGCATTACTTTAAAATAGTGTCTTTATCGAGCATTACTTTAAAATAGTGTCTTTATCGAGCATTACTTTAAAATAGTGTCTTTAGCAAGCATTACTTTAAAATAGGGTCTTTAGCAAGCATTACTTTAAAATAGTGTCTTTAGCGAGCATTACTTTAAAATAGTGTCTTTAGCAAGCATTACTTTAAAATAGTGTCTTTATCGAGCATTACTTTAAAATAGTGTCTTTATCGAGCATTACTTTAAAATAGTGTCTTTAGCGAGCATTACTTTAAAATAGGGTCTTCAGTGAGCATTACTTTAAAATAGGGTCTTTAGCGAGCATTACTTTAAAATAGTGTCTTTAGCCAGCATTACTTTGTAATGCTGGCTAAAGACACTATTTTAAAGTAATGCTGGCTAAAGACACTATTTTAAAGTAATGCTCGATAAAGACACTATTTTAAAGTAATGCTTGCTAAAGACACTATTTTAAAGTAATGCTCGCTAAAGACACTATTTTAAAGTAATGCTTGCTAAAGACACTATTTTTTTAAAATAGTGTCTTTAGCCAGCAATATTTTAAAATAGGGTCTTCAGTGAGCATTACTTTAAAATAGGGTCTTTAGCAAGCATTACTTTAAAATAGTGTCTTTAGCAAGCATTACTTTAAAATAGTGTCTTTAGCCAGCATTACTTTAAAATAGTGTCTTTAGCAAGCATTACTTTAAAATAGGGTCTTTAGCGAGCATTACTTTAAAATAGTGTCTTTAGCAAGCATTACTTTAAAATAGGGTCTTTAGCGAGCATTACTTTAAAATAGTGTCTT